GACAATGACAACTATTCTAAATTTAAAATGAGATTGCACATGTGAGAGAAGGATTTATATCATAATAGGTGTAATTATGACATGGTTAATGATGTGACACATTTGGGATTCTGTTTGGTATAGTTATCAAATGTTTAGGCGCTATTATGACGTGTTTCTTGTTTACATTTGGAGATTAATCATGACATAGGAATGATTGTGTGTCAAAGTAACAAGGGGTGGACTAGTGATGGTTACTTTGGTTGTCCAATTTACTACATCTGGAATTTACTACAATCCACAAATGGAGGGCACACCTGTAATAGATTATTTTTCTTTGATTTCAAGTGTGTGAATCCACTCCCAGTCCAGACCTTAGGGGTAGGAGGACAAACGCCTTTAACACATATCTTGAGTTGGGAGGACACAAGTCTTTGAAAATGACCATGAGGCTGTAAGATACAACTTTTACATGGCCACACCTTCTATTAGAAGCCCATAAAAGGACATGGAAGAAGGAAGCTTTTGCTCCTTGTCTGCTTGCCCTAGATTTTATAGCACACACATCCCTTCAGTGGCACCCAGGCCTGTACTTTGTGATTCCATCATACAGTAAAGACCAGCTGAGACATCCAGCCTTATGGACTGAGCAATTACTAGAGTGTAGGACATTCTGTTCATAGCTAGCCATCATTGTATTGGCTGGGCATGGGGCTCTAAGTCATTCATACAACCATATATATATATATATGATTGACAGTGCCCATGAGTGTGTGTATTTGTGTATGTGTCTGTCTCAAATACTGTCCATTCTCACTTTTTACCTCTCTGCTGTTCTAGTCCATAATTGCAACAAAAGTATTGTGTTCATCTTCATCCATTTAGGTTTGAGACCTACTGAAAATGACCAGAGACATTTGTGAGACTCTGGATTTGGAGCTCTGTTTTGGAGCCTACTGGGCTGAGCAGAGGACTACAGCTAAAGGCAGTGATTTTCCTCCTACATTCCATCCATAGACAGCATTTGAGAGGTAAAGGGTGGGCACTATGAGCCTTTCACTTTCCTAGACTGACTGTGGTCTAGTGTGAGGTCAATGCAGGTCAGTACAGCTTCTGTTGGTTACTGATTACAAGGATCTGTATGGAGTCTAGAGAATGACATATCTAGAGCCTAGAGTCTAGAGCCCTTCCTTCTCTTTCCCTTCTTACTCCCTTTCCTCCTCCTCTTTCTCAATGTTCCCAGAGCCATAGAAGGGAAGGAGTAACTGATGTTTTCAGGGATGGGGCCATGTAACTTACTTATTTTCTGAACCTGGCACAGCAAGTGACTCTGCAGTCACCACTGCATTAAAAAGAGTTTTTCCTATATTTTATCTGAAAGCATCTTTAACAGGAGTCAAAACAACTAATTTGTTTCTGAGTTAGTAAAATGAAGGAGTTCTGTCTAGTGGTGAGAGCAGTACAATGCAAAATGACCTCAACACTGAGCATTTATCAATGGTTGGACTATTGCCTTCTGAAAACCAATTTGTTTTGGAAGGGACAAGTTCCTCACTCAGCCCCTGGCTGTAGTAGCCATGGCAGGCTACAGAAAAGACACATAGTCTTCTGACACAAAGAAACTCTGGATCATGTATCCTTCCAGAGTCTAGGGTCAAAACTGAACAAAACAATCTCCATACCTCACCCCAAGCCTCCTAGATACTTGGTTCCAGAGAACTGTTTGGCCACAAAAGAAACTCCAGGGGAGATTAGAACTTCCCCCTGTGGTCTCCAGGATACAGTTCTGAAAACTATTGGTATCTATGTACAAGAGGAACAAGATGATTTCACAGAAACTACAGAATGTTCCCCCATCAGCACCAACCAATGAGAATAATTAGCACACAAGTATTTTGTGCTAAAATGTGACTTTGAGAAATTCTAACTGTTCACAAATGTCAACCAATCAGAAACCAATGAATACCTACTGATGTAATCCTGTAACTTTTGTCTTTTTTTTTTTTTTTTTTTGATTTTTCGAGACAGGGTTTCTCTGTGTAGCTTTGGAGCCTATCCTGGCACTTGCTCTGGAGACCAGGCTGGCCTCAAACTCACAGAGATCCACCTGCCTCTGCCTCCCGAGTGCTGGGATTAAAGGCGTGTGCCACCAACGCCCGGCTTCTTTTTTGTGTTTTGTTTTTTGTTTGTTTGTTTGTTTTTGTTTGTTTGTTTTTCTGGTGGGGTAACTTTGTGTAGCCCTGCCTGTACCTCAACTGATTCTGTAAAACCATACTGGCCTCAAACTCACAGCGATCCGCCTGGCTGTGGCTGTTGAGTGGTTGGAATAAAGGTGTACACCACTTCCAACCACCTTTAAACCCAAAACTCAGACGGCAGAGGCAGGTACATGGAAATAAGATGGAGGGGTAAGGTGTACATAGTGACTTTAAGGACAGTTAGCACTACACACAAAGATAGAAAACAACAAAGAGATGTAAATGCATTAGAGTATAGAATGATTTTTAGAAACCCTGGTTTGAATAATTATAATAACTCATGTATATCAGAAATATGTAACCTTCGTTAGCTTGCTTGGTCCAAGAAAGCAATCTGTCCATGTAAACATGATGGAACTGTTATTGTTTAGTTGTGGTGTTTGCTGTATTTGAGATGTGAGCTTAAGTGTTGCTCTGTGTGGTCCGAACTCACCAGGTAGACCAGACCGCACTGGAAAACACCAAGTTCCACCAACATCTATTTCCAAAATGCTAGGATTAAAGCTCTGCACCAACATGAGTGTTCAAATGTTGGGGTTTTCTTCTGTGTTCTGTTGACAACCAGTGGTGTGACTGTGGGCTTCTTCCAGGAGGAATGGCAATGCCTGGAGCCTCCCCCGAGGGCTTGGTACTGAAAGTTGCAGAACTGCAGCAGTATGGTTTCTGTGACTAAGAACTGTTTGCTTACAGTCTACCTTGCTCCTCAGCATTTCTTGACAGACTAATTGGCAAGTGTGTGAGCTTTGTGTGAATGAGTCTCACACCCCACAGAATAAAAGAAATCCTCAAAGGGAAAAAAAAAATCATGATGTGTTTCCTTGAATATTGGTCCATGTTAAAATTCAGAACCTCTCTAGTCCATAATATTCTCTCCCTAATCATCCAGTATCATTTCTGCCCCTGAGTTTTCACTAAGCTAGGATTGGAAGTAAGACTCAAGAGATGCCAACTAAAAAGGCTTTATAATATTGCCAGTACTGTGACATTATGACAGTTAGGAAATCATTTGTGTAACCCTGTATTTAGTGTTCTCTTCATCTGCTGAGCACAGTACTGTGTGAGAAATCCAGGGGCTTCCTAAACAATCTCTTTCTCACATGCAGGCTCACTGATCACCCAGACCTGCTCACCTGTGCAGCAGAACAAGGGGACCTGGAAGGACAGAGGAGACAGAAGCTTAGGATTCAGGTATGGTGGAGGGGTTGGTTAGAGAGTGGAAAGTGATCAAATCATTTGATCTTTCAGCATTTTCCTCAAATACAGGGAAGGAGGATGAAAGAGATGGCTCAGAGGTTACTAGCACGGGCTGCTTTTCCAGATGTCCTGAATTAAATTCCCAGTAACTGCATGGTGGTTTACAAACATCTAAAATGAGATCCGGTGTCCCATCTGAGTAGAAATGATTTTTTTTTCCAAACAGGGTTTCTCTGTGTAGCCCTAGCTGTCCTGGACCTCGCTGTATAGATCATGATGGCTTCCAACTCAGAGATCCACCTTCCTCTAACTCCCTATTGGTAGGATTATAAGTCTGCACCACCAACACGTAGCTCCATTCTCTGTCCTTAGACAGGCTTTATTTGTACCAGGAAGGTATCTCCACATTGATGGATAATAGTGAAGGAACAGGTGGCTACCCTATGAAATTTCCAGACACCTTTACTATTCTTTTACCATTCTTCTGTGTTTATATCCAGCTGTTTGTCCATAATTTAATCCTCACCACTGTCTTCGCATTTCCCCTTCAATCACTTGTTCCCTGTTACCTCCATCTCTGTTAATCCCTTCCACCTCCCAGTGCTGTCTTGTTACTTTTCTGGTTACTGCAGTCACTCCAGGTTGTGGACTCACATCTGAAGATGTGGAGGTAGTAACTTCCTATGAGAAAGAACATGAATTGTCTCTCTTTCTGGGTCTGGGTTACCTCAGTCAATACGATGTTTCCAAGTCTGTCTGTTTACCTGCAAAGAGCATTATTTTAATTTTCTTTACAGCTGAATAGTATTCCATAGTGTATATGTACCACACTTTCACCATCCATTCATCCAGTTCAGAGACATTTAAGTTGTTTCCATTTTGTAGCTCTTGTGTGCAGAGCAACTGTGAGCATTGTTGGCCCATTATCTGTGAAGTACAATGTCTAGTCTTTGAGGGTTTGTTTATTTGAGGATTCTCTATTTTGATTTTAAGTGTGGATAGTTTTTGTTCATGTCCCTTTCATATTCTCTGGTCTTGCTTTTCTGTTGTTGCTGTTGGATGTTTGGTAATAGTCATCTTTTGTCTTTTTGAGAAATATTGGTTTGCTATCTTGGTCATGGACTTTTTCTTCCCAGTTATCTATTCTTCATATTTCTTCCCATGAAACTAATTATTCCCATGATCTCATGAAAGATACCCCTGATTCTCCTGTGTCTGTTTTGCCTGTAAATTATTATTTTCAGGGTTTATTTAGTGAAATCAATTGTGGTGTTGGTGATTAGCTTGGTCTCCATAAGTTTTAACAGAGTAGTGTTCTTTGTGCTTCAGGATGCTTGATGGTGATTTTTCTCTTCAAGTGTCAAATGTCTTTCCATGCTCTCCTGGGTTTAGGATCATTGACCAGACACCTGGTCATATTCTTTTTCTTGGGTCTTTTCATTTGGCCTGACTTTATTTTCTAATAGGTTTCAGTATTACTCCTACATTCTGACCCTTTATTTTATAGGGAAGTGATCCATGTGTTCATTGTTCCTGAAAGAGAAACTCAAAGAAGAAAAACAGTAAGAAATGGCTAATTCTCCAGTAAATATATCACAGGTCAGTGGTCCATTCCATTCTCTATCTAAACATTCTCTACTTTGATATATTAAAAATCTTTGATTTTTTTCCTTCTGAGAATTTTTAAAGTTTTAATCAGGATCAATTCTATGAACAGAGAACAATAAAATCACACATTGCAATAAGCAACACAAAAACTATAAAACTCAATCGAGCCTATACAAGCTGAGTCCTCACAGGGCACAGAAGGTCTAGATCCTCACATTGAATTTTATATTTCACAATTGAATAAATTTTGATCTCCTTATCCACCACCCAAACACCAAAAACCTTTGATATAATTAGAACCAGAAAAGCTCTTAGCTTAAGTAACTTTTCCATAACTGGTATTCATTACCTGCATTCAGTCCCTGGTAATTTAACCTTCCTGTTCTCTTTTCTTCAAGTTATACAGTGTCCATATTAACATTGTTTCTATGTACACATGTGATTGGGAGATAATGCACGTGAGCAAAAACATGGTGTTTTCTTTCTGAAAGTGATGACTGCTCTGAATATTACACACCATGGGTCTGTCCATTTCCTGCAAATTTTTGCTTTTTCTCTTGAGCTGAAATGCACAGAGTTTTATAAAATTCTCATCATACTTTCATGTGTTGATACATGAAGCTTTAATTCTACTACTTTCCCTTTCATGATGAAAAACAGCAATAAAGATGAGGTATAAATATCTCTATAGTGGGGGGGGGTGTGTGGAGGTGGGTGTGCGTCTGTTTTTCTCTTCGTATATGGCCAGGAGTGCAATAGCTGTGTCGTATGTTAGTTCTCTCTTCAATTATTTTCAGTAATCTCCAAACTGTTTCCCACAATAGCTATATTAATTTACACCCTCCCCTCCATCAATAGTGAGTAAGGCTTCTTTCCTCTCCCTATGCCATCTCACCTTTGTTGTCAGTTTAGTTGATGACAGCCATTGTGTCTGGGGTGAGTCACTATATCCAAGTAGTTGTAATTTACATTTCCATGGTGACGTTTTTTTGTGATTCTGAGCACTTTTTCAATGTTTATTGTTTGATAGATTTTCTGTCTTTGAAAAGTATCTGTTTAGTCCATTTGTTGATTTGCAATTTCATTTCCAAAAGTCTTCTTTGTAAAATCAGTCATATATTCTGCATGCTATACATGCTATACCTTCCTCTTTCCAAGGGTGTGTCATTGGACCTAGAGTGTAAACATCCCTCCTGGGTCTGTTAGGATAGAGTCATGTAAGGCACAAATACAGACAGAATTGATAAGTGTCAGTATTTTAGCATGATCTCCAGGTACAGCATTTAAAGCAGAGACATGTACAGTGGGATCCTATGTGACATAAACAACACATCCATAACAGAGAGATAACCATGACTAGACCTTAAATTTATTTGTTGTATCATGTATACTGCTTATAAGACTGTCTTTTCCTTCTGCTTTTACAGAGTTACATCATTCATGACAGAATATGAATATATTGAGAAATCATATTTTTGACTAGTTATCTTAGCTCCTCTTCTAAATCTGTGTCCTTATATCCAGGAAAGGACATCCAAATAGCATTTGGTCAAACCATAATTTTTATTTCAGGGTGTGTTGACATTCAGTGATGTAGCAGTGAACTTCTCCCAGGAGGAGTGGGAATGCCTGGACTCTGGTCAGAGGGCTTTGTACATTGATGTGACGTTGGAGAATTGCAGCAACCTGCTGTCTGTGGGTGAGAATATTTTGCTTGTTGAATTATCAAACTACCTTTTGTTTCTTTTGAGAGGTTGTAAAAATCTTTTTTTTATTTTAAAGATTTTATTTATTTATTATGTATACAACATTCTGCTTCCATGTATATCTGCATACCAGAAGAGGGCGCCAGATCTCATTACAGGTGGCTGTGAGCCACCATGTGGTTGCTGGGAATTGAACTCAGGACCTCTGGAAGAGCAGTCGGTGCTCTTAACCTCTGAGCCATCTCTCCAGCCCTGGTTGTAAAATCTTTTAAGCTGTCCTGAAAGAAAACAAACAGGAGACATGGCAGATTTAGCAGTTTGGAAGATATTTTCATGATATTTAGGTTTCTCTTCCAATTTGTATTCCACTAACTATTTTTGTTCCAAGATTCATCCATAGACTCAGGAACATATACCATTCCCACTAATATCTTAAAACTCCTTGTCCATTATTGCAATACACATATTTTTAATTGTGAGAAAAAATTAAGATAAATAACATGGCAAATATGAAATATACTGAGGAATATGACATGACATAACTATCCAGAAAACTTATTTAAATTCCTCTGTTTTATGTTTTCATATACTGATCCAGTACTCTGTTAGCCTTTGGTGTTATTTCTCAAAGTGCTAGCATGGGTAATGGATTGCCTGCAAGAACTGGTAGATTATTGTATTGTAATCGTGATCAGCTCTCTGGAACAAATGAGATTGTCCTCCAAAGAGGAAGGAAGGGAGTAGCCACAAATAGATGGGCAGTGAATGAGCAAGAGAACAGTGAAGGCTTCAAGTGAAAGAGAAAGCAAGAGCCGGGCATTGGTGGCACATGCCTTTAATCCCAGCACTCGGGAGGCAGAGGCAGGCATATCTCTGTGAGTTAGAGGCCAGCCTGGTCTCCAGAATGAGTGCCAGGAAAGGCTCCAAAGCTACACAGAGAAACACAAATAAAAAAAAACAAAAGATAAATAAAAGAGAAAGCAAGAGATGAGAATGTTTTTCAGATCCTCAATTCCACTCGCTGGACTCCTGGTCATTTAACTTAGTGTAGTGTTCTGGCCCCAAGATGCATCCTGTCTGTTGTAATAACTGTCAGAAGGCCTTCTGTCTTATTACACCTAAAGTGTGGTGACTTAATACAATTTTAAAAATGCAGTTTTATTTTAACGTTGCTGAAATTGGAATGGAATAATCTTTGAAACTTAATTCTAACATGGATTTTGAAGTAATGTCATTCTGTAATTACCTTCCTTGTATACACATCTTCCTATTATATCCTTCATTTTATGTGCAGTCAGGAATACATAGACATCCTATGGGAAATAATCTGAGGACTCAGATTTGACCTTAGGATAACCCTGTGAGGAAAGTTAAGAAACACAGTGGTGTGTGGAACTCTGAGAATAACTGACAGAAATGAGCAATTTGTTCCCATGACAGACCTGCCTAAAAGGAGGAAAAGCCTGTGATGTCTGGCAGAATATTGTCTTTACATTTATGCCTAAGTATAAATACTGTAAGCCTGGGATTGAATTACGTTCCTCATCCATAATTTCTGAGAAGAAATATTAAAAGATAGAGACATATATTCTAAATATAATCCTTCAATGAGATCTAACAGAAATCTAATTTGTGGCCACCAATTATTTTTCCATCTTTTTCCAGTTAGAGAATTTTGAGAAAGATGAGATACCTTTTGTAACTCACTGACCTTTGAAGGCTGTCATGCTGTGTTTGAGAGAATCCATGCAATTACAGTGAGTGAAAAACTGTCCATTACTGGGAACTCTAACCCCAATAGTTCCAAGTTCACTTATGTCAAATGACAACTTAGGGAGACAGTCATTCATTGCATATTATTGGAACAAACCCTATTAATCTGAAGTTTTCTCATTTTCAGAGAACTATTACAAGTGTGATTCTGTCCATCAGCATGTGAAAACTGAAAAGGAGTCTTGTCAGTGTAATGAGCTTGGAAAAGTGCTTCATGACCCCTCTACATGTGCACTTTATAGAACAAGTGAAACTACAGAAAACTCACATGCAGTAATAACTACACATGCAGTAATCCCAGGGATGCCTCTGTTGACTCATCAAACCCAGACAGACGTGAAAGCATGCACAGTGGAGAAGAACCTTGCCAATCTAAAGACCGTGAGGAATCCTTAAATTTGTGTTCTGACATTCTTCAAGATCAGACAGGCTACACTGCAAAAAAAGAGCACAGGCAGGAAGAAGGTGAGGAATCTTTGAGCTCTGTATACAGTCTTGTGCAACACCCAATCTACATTGAAGAAAATCCACACCAGTGTGGGAAATACAAGAAATGCTTCAGGACTGCTTGCTACCTCACAGATCACAAAAGAATTCCTACTGGAATTAAACTCTGTCAGAGCAACATTAGTGGAAAATCCTTCACCCAGCATTCCAGTTGTAAAATACACCAAAGCCTTCATTCTTCGGAGAAACCATACACTTGTATGGAATGTGACAGGTCCTTAACTTGCAATTTGCAATTTAGAAGACATAAGAGAGTTCATATTGGAGAGAGACCTTACAGTTATATGCAATGTGACAAGTCCTATACCTGTCTCTCACATCTTAGAAGACATCAGAATTTTCACACTGGAGAGAGACCTTACAAATGTATGGAATGTTACAAGTCCTTTATCTGTGATTCATATCTTAGGAAACATCAGAGAGTTCATACTGGGGGAAAAACCTTACAAATGTCTGGAATGTGACAAGTCCTTTACCTGGGATTCAGATCTTAGAAAACATGAGACAGTTCACACTGGAGAGAGACCTTACAAATGTAAAGAATGTGACAAGTCCTTTATCCAGAACTCAAAACTTAGAACACATCAGAGAGTTCATACTGGAGAGAGACCTTACAAATGTATGGAATGTTACAAGTCCTTTACCTGGGATTCAGATCTTAGAAATCACCAGAGAGTTCATACTGGAGAGAGACCTTACAAATGTATGGAATGTTACAAGTCCTTTATCTGTGATTCATATCTTAGGAAACATCAGAGAGTTCATACTGGGGGAAAAACCTTACAAATGTCTGGAATGTGACAAGTCCTTTACCTGGGATTCAGATCTTAGAAAACATGAGACAGTTCACACTGGAGAGAGACCTTACAAATGCAAAAATGTGACAAGTCCTTTACCCAGAAATCACAAGTTAGGGCAGATAAAGGGTAGAAATAGAGGAGGTCAAGAAAGGAGATGCCTTGAGGGGGAGACTGTATAGGTTTGGAGAGAAGTCTGGCACAGGAGAAATGTTAGGGGATCCACAGAGATGACCCAACTAAGAATCTAGGCCATGGTGGAGACAATGCCTTTGATGCCCTTCCCCTGTAAAGAGATTGATGTCTACCTTGGTTACCTTCCCTAGAGCCTCCATCCAGTAGCTGTTCAAAGCAGAAAAAGTTACCCACAGTTCAGCACTGAATCATACTCCAGGAATCCAGTTTTGAAGAGGGAGGAAAATGAGCAAAGGAGCCAAGAAGGTACGGGAGAAACCCTGAGAAACAATTGACATGACCTAGTGAGAGCATGGAGACCCTAGTCGTAAAGCTGGGAAAACAGCATTGGACTGAACCAAGACCTCCGAATGTGGGTGCCAGCTAGGAGGCCAAGACAGTCTATGGGTCTTCTAACAGTGGAGCCACCCTTTATACCTAGAACATAAATGGTCTTTTGGAGCCCATTCCTTATGGAGGGATAATATTGCAGCCCAGATATAGGAAGGAGTGGCTAGGCCTCCCCCAAATGATATAACTAACTTTGAAGTTCCCCTGTGGATGGCCTCAGTACCCCTGGCAACTAGGTGGGGGATGGATTTTGGGGTGGTTGTTGGGGAACATGGGAGTATGTGAGGGCTAGGGAATGGGGGATGGGTATGTTAATGAGTGCCTCTAAAATACAAAAAATAATAAAAAATGAGAATAAATAAATTCAACAAAAAAGAAAATAACATATATTCACAGGTACACTTTAATTCCTTTTTTTCCAGTCTTTTTATTTATTCATACACAACTACTTGTCTTCTGGTTTGTTGAAGCAGTAAGTCAGACACTTGCCAAAGTAATGTCTGTCAAAATGGCTAGCCATGAAAACTCCAGCACCACACTCTTCAGATGGACACTCTCGAAGAAGGCGACGAATTTTGCCATTTTCATCCACCTTATAGTACTTCAGCACAGCCAACTTAACCTTCTTTCTCTTATGTTTATTCTTCTTGGGAGTGGTTTAAGACTTCTTCCTCTTCTTAGCACCGCCACGAAGTCTCAACACAAGATGAAGGGTGGACTCCTTTTGGATGTTGTAGTCAAAGTATGGCCATCTTCCAGTTGCTTACCAGCAAAGACCAGTCTCTGTTGGTCAGGAGGAATTCCTTCCTTATTCTGCATCTTGGCCTTTACATTTTCTATAGTGTCAGAGGGTTCAACCTCGAGCGTGACGGTTTTTCCTGTAAGGGTCTTCACGAAAATCTGCATCTTGGTAGTGGTTCCACCACAGATGGCGAATCAGAAAGCCATTCACTTTGAAGTATGAGTACTACAGAAGTATTCACGCTAGTACTTAAAATACTATAGCTGCCAGTTGTGGTGCTATATTTTTTTATGATTGATTAAAGCTTTCCTGAGGATACAGAAAGCAAAGTCAGCCACAAACCATAGAAGCCAGGCAAACATTAATCACAGCAGCCAGAAACTTAGAGGTTTTGCATACCTTTCATCCTACAACTCAGGATTAGGAGCTAGACAGATAGTTGTGAGTCCAAGACACCCAGATATAAAGAGGATTGATCCAGTCCCAAATGGAAACAGCTCATAGAAAGATGATCTCAGCACCTGGGATCACATGACTTTATTCCCAACGTCAAGGAGGTATAGAAGACTGGAGCAAGGTCTCCATATCAGGCATTCATTCTCCAGGCACAGTGAGGACAGGAAGCCTTCATTTTCCAGCTACAATGAGAAGCAACAGCCTGAAGAAATCATAAAGAAAGGATCAGCCCTTTAGTCTAAGGTAATGATCAGATGCATTGATTTTCTGATCTTCAGCTTGAAGCTTGAATGCCAAAATGTGCCTCTGTGTGTTTTATTTTATTGTGGTACAGCCAGTAAAACTTTATAGAAGTAAAATACTCATGAGACCCTCCCTCAGCCAGGATAATTGAGCCAATTTTACACGATTGCTTGTTCTCAGTACTTTTTGAATACTTATGAGCCCCTGGATTGCCCACTCCCGAGTAAAAGAGTTTCTTCATGAAGCTTGACAGGAGTTCAGATTTATAGTTGTAAACAGATATTTAGATGCCAGACAACAGCATGATCATGAACAAAGCATCCATAGGTCCTGCCCTTGCACCTATAAATCCAAAGTCATGATTTTAGACCATGTTTACATGGCCAGGCATAAATTGCCCTCTGTGAAGCAGACCTCAAATGCAATCATGAAACAGGATTCTCATGCCCATAGGCAGTCATGCCACTTTGGATCTGTAAATACATCTTGCCTTGCAGGTTGGTAATGTAGGATGCAGAGACCAGGTGTAAGTAAGACCATTGGCATCTTTTCTCTGCCAGTAGCCTGACCAGACCCTACAATGCTATGAAACCCAGCAAGCATGGAGAGTTCAAGATTCCACACTGTATCCTACAACCAAAGTGTTTGTTGTCTTCAGCACCACCATGTACTTACAGTGGCCAAGCAAGAGCACTGACAATGACCTGTTTTGTTTGAGGTGACAATGGAGTCTCCCTGACCAGTAAACCCTTGGCAGATGACCAGTACCTGGTACAGAGAGTTTCATTTAATAGCCCTTGTGTCTGGTAGCAGCATTATTTACCGATGTAGTATACCTCCATTCAATGTTTTAAACATTATATTTTCTGTTTTAGTTGTAGGATAGTGGAACTTCATAAGTCTTCTTCATGAATCTCTCCTTTAGGTTAACCCACCCTCTCTTCCTCCTTTCATCCCTCCCTATCCACCGTTAAACATCTAGGACACATAATCCAGAGAGGGTCTTACTGGAGAGCCTAGGCTGGCCTTGAACTTGTTAACCTCCTGTCTCATCTTCCCAGGTGCTGGGATTATCTGAACCTGCCACCAAGCCTGGCTCTAGAGCAGATTATCCAATTCCCCATTTTATTATAACACCTGTGTTCTACTATCCTCTCTTATAACTTTTACTTGGGTTAAAAAAGAATAGGTGTTCATGTAGCTTCCCATGGACATCTTGTTTGAAATGACATTTCTGCAGTCCACTCTAATACCCTCCACACAGTCTTATGTAAGCACACAAAACAAAAAGTGAAAAGAGTACCCACATATTCAATTACACATATCTCTTAATAGATATCTAGGTTGATTCTGTATCTTAGATGCTGTCAATACAGGAACAATGAACATCATGGGCCAATGCTCAGGGACAAGATGAAAAGTCCTTGGGGTTCATGCCCAGAATTAATTGTTGTGTATCACCTTCCTCTTACACAAACTCCTTAAATGCTGAGGAAACTCCCCCAAAACACAGGACATTAAAAAATGTAAAAGAATGGAATGAACTCGAGTTGAAACAGTACGCTCAACAGAGAATTTCCTAAAGCTCAGAAATAGCCAACTTCAGCCCCGGCGTTGGTGCCTCACACTTTAATCCCAGCACTCCGAGGCAGAGGAAGGCTGATCCCTGTGAGTTCAAGGCTAGCCTCGTCTACAGAGCCAGTGCCAGGACAACCTCCAAAGCAATACACAGATACCCTGTCTCAAAAAAAAAAGTAAAGAAAAGAAAACAAAGTAAGAAATAGACAATTTCATATGATCAGGAAGTCACAGAAACTGACCAGACTCACTAGTCCCCTCCTGTCTTAAGCATATGTAATCAGTGAGGACTGCAGACACTGTCAGACAAGCTAGCTCCACAGAAGATGCTCTGACCAGTCACCAGGCAGACAGCAGTGAAGCTGCCTGTAGGAGGATGTGTGTGGTTTAAAAGAAACTTCTAACCTACTTTGAGCTGTGTGCAAGTAATGTAGTGACGCCCAGGGTTCCAGATTCATTAGCCATCACCCTCCCTGAGTGATGCAGCTGTCATTGAGTCCTTGTGCTACGAGTAAACTCCCATGCACACTCATTATTTTTAAATAAGCATTTTATTAATTTCTTCTTACATTCCAATCCCTGTTACCCATCCCTCCCCTCCTGAGGCTCCCCCCACTCACGCCCACCTCTCATCTGCTCCTCAGAATGTCCGGCCTCCAATAGGAAGTCTACAATGTGTGTGTCATCATCTAATTGTCACTCACACCCCAATAAAACTCACGGAGCCTCTTAGCTGTAGAGATGACTCAGTGCTTAAGAGCACTGTCTGCTCTTTCAGAAGACTCACTTTGAATTCCAGTCACCCTCACCTGGGCACTCAATCTGTAACCTAAATTTTTTGGGTATTAAATACTTCCTTCTGGCCATAGTGGGCGGAAAGAACACACAGGTTGCTTAGACAAATATGCAGATAAAGCACCTAAAAAGGAAAGCAAACAGAATCCTCATTTGTTCAGCAAATTTGAAGTTTTCAGGTCCCAACTTTGGTTTGTCATTGGATCGTTATCTGCAGTGAGTAGTTCCACAGCATATAATGTCAAATATAGATGTTGAAATTGGATCACCCAGTCATTTTATTTCATTTATTCTGTTTTTATCAGAACATCTAGAGTGATTTTTTTTTTTTTTTTT